CCACACAGTCACTCCGCGTCCATCCGAGACTATGCTGACGTCTATTACAGGTGCTCGGCGATCTCGAACAGCGATTAGGTCAGGTTTGATGAAGGACGTCGAATTAGGTGCTCTCAACTCTTCGAAGACGGTGTATCCCAGTCGACGGAGACATTTTGCGAGTTCCCTTACAACCCGATTATGTCGAACACACCTGGCGTCATGTGTGATCCAGCAGGACTGGATGGGATGAGTACATGACTCCTGTGAGTAAAGCAGCTACGCTGTGCATGATGAGTTTGTGGCCACTGGTTTTGAGCTCTTTGGAACTCACTGACCAGTTGCCGTTCGGGGGGTTGAAATACAACTGGGACGGTGACCGACCCTTGCGAGATATGTTGCCTTGGGTTCGCTGACCGTGTGCACGGTGTACACGTTTTGTGTTTTTGGACCAGATCTGCAGCGTTTTCAGTTGTCCGTATTCAGCTGAACCGTGTGAAACTGCAACCTATGAAAGTAACTCAAACAGGGTTTCCAACTCTTGTCCCTACCCTGTTGATGATGTGTGCGAACAACCGCGTCTAATGTAACCATGATTTCTACGACATGCAGACCCTCAGATAAGTTTCCTACTGTATAAATCTCGTTTTCTCTGGAATGACACGTATAATAGGAGACGAATAGGCAATAAGTTTTCACACAATTTCTTCCACCACCAACGTAAGTTCAACCTCATAATCACATCACAGTGGTGCACTCTGTCGGTTTCAGCCCAGCATGCTCCGTTGCACTTGCAACGGAACCTACATTTCTAATAGCATGCGCAGTTCCAAATGTATGCAATTTTGAAGGAACCACTTCCTCCAGAGGTACTGCTTGAGATGTGCGGCGCATACTATTGATGAGGCATGCAAGTAGTATGTTGTTTTCTCGTAACTCCGCTTCACGTCCAACGGAAAGTGGAATTTACTACCAAATTTGTGCAACTGCTTTGCGATTGCGTGATATTCAATGAATATCCAGGAAAGTTCAGGAAGGCTCATTCAAGAAGAAGACGGAAATAATTTTTTTAGAAACAAGGTGCATATGAGAGGTTAACTTTTCTTTGTAACTGTTTAGTTGGTGTTTTCTGAATAACGTCTACGCAGCGAAGGGCTTTCATCCATTCACGGGAAGTATTATATGATACACACGTAATGTTTTTTATGCGACAATACTGAACTGGAGTTTTGTCATAGTTTGCACGAGTGACGTACGTTATTTTTTGAGTTACCAAAATTTCGAGTTAGTGGCATCTATCAGCGGGCCACAATTTGGATCGCGATTGATGGAGACTTAGTTCCTAAACTTCAGTATCTCTATTTTTAGGAACCAGTGCGTCCGAGAAGAAATAACATCCAAAAACCAGTCTGACTCTTAGTTCCCGACCAGTTTTGTGTGTTTTTACTACTTTCAAAACTGCGACGCGGGAAAACCTCCATTCTTATTTCTCGTCAGGCGAAAAACCTTTCCGTGGTTGGATGAAAACTGTGGCTTGAGAATTCCTGTGCAGTTTTGCTCTAGAATACTGCTAAAAATATCGGAAAGCCTGCCACATAAATTATGAATGGGCCGGGGAAATTGAACTAATTCTGAGCGGTTATCATAATTTATGGTCTCCACTGCCACGAGAGTTGGAAAGTACTCATTCTGTTGGTGTGCAGCTCTCACTACCGACTTTTACGATAAGAGCTGATTGAATTCTGTTCAACTATTCTGTACGGGATTGCGTGACCAAAATGAGAGTATAACTAGATAGAAATTATGAGATTGTGCTTTTGTTGATTTCAGTCAACAAAATTTCGATCGATGTACTTTTATTTCAGAACAGTGGGAAATTCTTTTATGGGGGTGAAAAAAGCGTCAAAAACCAACGGCCATTCATGATTCATTCTGTTGTCCGGAGAATTTTTGTCTTCATTGTTGATCAGATAGCTGGAAAATTACGTTAGAAAAGTAATGTGACGCATTCAGATTTTCTGCGCTGTCGTATCTACTTTTTCAGTCAAGTCCAACGTCAGTCTTTGAACCCAGTATCTCGAGTTAACGCCTGAAGCATCAGGTGCAGAAATTGTTGCATCCAGTACATTTACACGTCTTTATAGTTGCCCAACAGCAAGTTGTTTTCGCGAGATCTTTCCAGTCTGGCGATTCGTCTGAGCGAGTGTTGGGGCTTGGCCAAACGGTCGAGAGCGGGGCCACACTGTTTGTTGCACTTTCACAACAAACCTGAATGTAGAATGTGTTTACTTAACACTAGGCTTTTGCAGATTCATTGTGACTTCCAGCAACACTCAGCTCAAATTTCGCCCCTTCCGAAGCCTCCGTCAGTCACGTGATTCTAAATCGAACAGTCAGCTGATTCAATAGGCTCCTGGGAACAGTTCGAAACAGACGCCGTAGAATTAGCCGGTTAAAAGTTTGTGCAAACTTTAAGGAGAGCCTGAAATAACTAAGTGAGCCTTCATCAAATGTTTTGCTCCAGACCCTAGCACTAGTTCGGCTCAAGCGTGACGCACACACCTTGTGCCTTCATTAAAGTGTGACCCTATTTCTTCGAGAAAGAATGCACAGGTTATAAGGCGCGGTTGGTATGTACAGCGACTTTCCACTTATTATCTGATCGGAATGTTTTGGGAAGCAAAACCCTTTAAAAAATGACGCGAGCAAGGTTTCTTCTGTCAGCTAAACTTGCACAGGGACTTTCTCAGTGGGTATGGACGATTCACAATCTTGGTGTTCCTAACTTCAAAGGTGAATTCGATTCTTTCGATCCATCAGTGCCGTAAACTAAATTTACACAATAGGGTATGCCACAGAAGTTTGTGAACATATTCCGGTCCCTATATTCACATACTTCTGAGCGTGTGAGGGGCGAGATTAGAGCGCGAATTTACTGACCGGAAGGTTTGTGGTTCGAACCCGACCCGAGCCTCTCGAGTTCCCTTGTCCAGGCTTGAGCAACCTGGCAGTATCCCGGCTCTCGTGCTTCTTTCGGGTGGTATGGCAACTAGACACCGGACGGGTGTTACAGCTGAACGATTGATTGATTGATTGTGTGTGTGTGCGGCGAGCTCTCAAAAAGCTTCTCTACAAAAAGTGGGGTCGGACAAGGATGTCCACTCTCTCCATTCCTGTTCAAATTCGTCATCATTGAATTACTGAGACTAATGCAGGAAGATATTCAAAACTGCGGTGTTAAAAATGTTGTTTCTGGGAACTCGGTTGATCTGAGGCGAAATCGTTCATAGTTTTGAAGTTGAAAGTGAAGCGCAAACCATGCTCAATAGACTGACCACCATCTTTCGGCATGCAGCTTGCAAATGGAAAGTTTAAAGCCATGCTTCAGAACCTACTGTCTCTGAACATAGCCCTTACAATCCACGGAGAATGACAGAGGGTCGTGGATTTGTGTTGGCCCCGATGTAGGCGTGTCTGACGAACATCAAAGACCCGAATCGCGTTCGTGAAGTTGCCTCATCTGTGGCTTCACAAAAGCATATCGGTGTTCGCGTGTGCCAGGCTACTGTAAGCGCTGTTACTGAAGGGTTACGAAACATAAGCTCTGCGGACAGATAACATGAGGCGTCTTGGGGTTTTTGACTTAAAATAATATTGCTTGAGCTCACATACGTCCTGTGGCATCAAAACCATTTGACTCAGTACAAATCAATCACGTCTCATCCAGTTTCTGGAGACGGAAGCTTACCGAACTTGCTTGGCTTCCAGTGTAGTGTCGTGTCCAACAGCTATCACACCATACGGTTTTGCTTTCCTCTTGTGATTCCGTATCAAACAGTTCATCGAGCTGTTCTTCAGAAAGTTCACCCATCGACCCACGAATCTTGCTGTAAATAGGATCAATGATATCGCTCGATGAAACTAGGCTGGTTGCGTCCTCCTCTGATGGTAGGTCCGACGCTTCAGGGAACGGAAGTTTACAGGCGTCGGGTACGGTTGTGGGCGCACGACCATCATAGAACCTGTTCAGATTCCAGGAAAAAAAGGAATAACGGTGCGTCATTATCAATTAGTAGCGTAAGCTATCGAATTTTTCAAAAGAACCACCGCTTTTCTACACCTTCGATATATAAATACAATAACATGCTACGGGTTCGCCACTTTTAGCCAATATCTTTGTAAAACTAAACTTTCCTTCCTTACTGCTGCCGTTTCCTCGACGCCAAGCAAATGAAATCCTTGCAGTTATTGGCCCCACACCAACTTGGGATCACTCAGTGGTAAGCTCACTTGCTGACCGAAAGGTCCATGGTTGGTTGAAACCTCACATCCGGCATCTCGATTGCTCCTGTCTAGACTTGAGCGACTTGGCAGTATCTCAGCCCTTGTGCTTCCTCGATCAACTCTACTGTAAACACCCGTCAATCCGATGAACAGCAGGACAACGGTCGGCGAAATTCATTCATTTTCTTCATGTTTTTGTCGACAGGAAAACCGACATTGGAGAAAAGGAGAAATCTGTTTTAAAAATCCACATAGACCGGTCAGTATACAAGGTTCACCAGTTTCGTGTGCATTTCATAAGGAAGAAACTTCATTCGCTCTCCAGGAGATGGTGTTAAGAGTTATCATCATCATCCTCATCGGCAGCATGACATCAGTGTTCAACACCGATGCTTCACTGCCGTACAACCATGATTTATTTGAAAGCCTCATTGTAAAGAAAATAATAAAGGTGGACGGGGAAGGGACTTAGTGCTAGCTTACCACAATCATCCCGAGGTGCCTACACCTCCAGACATTCACTCAGGCAATCTGGATAGAAACTGACAACAAGAACG